AAATGAGCTATTTTGCAGGCTAGTAAACTTTCATTTTAGACTAAACTTTGGTTCGAGTGAGGGAAACTAAGGGGGAGGGTCAGGATGGGGGGCGGCGACAAGCAGGCATTTGCTATCTTTGCTATCCAAGCAGGGGCCTAGCATATCTCTTTCTTCTATAGTTTGCTGACCTAAGCCAATTTAAGGCATTTTATCTCGGAAATGGACCAGTGTATACATTATTTCCTTCAGTATGATACTAGTTTTGAAGAGGGAAGATTTTAAATAATAGGGAGGATAACATGCTTTTTAGTTCATAGCAATCCCTATGCTATGTGCTGGAGAGAGGAGTAGAAAAGTTATATGTGATCCCTGTCATGATAAAATTTACAATCTAATTGGGAAGACAGAATTGAAAGAAGACCAATGTGAAGTTCAAAAATCATTAGCTTTGATGTACACACTTAAGTACTTTGTGGAAGGTATATTTACTAACTGAAAATTGATGCTTCATGCTTTTTTACTATTTAACAAAATCTCCTTGTTTGAGCTCTTGCTTACAAAGATAGTTCTTGCTGGAATCATGCTGTTACTGCCAGGAAAACATATGTAAGTTATGACAACACAAGTTGTTCTATTTTGCATGTCAGTTTTATTTATCACAGCAGATTTTATAAATAGTCAATTTGGTTTAATATCAATCTTGTGAATGTGTGTCTGCATTCCAATGTCAATCTACTCTGAAAATCCAACTCGGAAAAGGATAATTCTTTTTAAATATCGGAATACACAATATAGTACAAGGAGTGAACCTAAGGAGACAGCTAAAGAAAGGACAATTTGATAAATGCCAATGATGTAGTTCAGCCAGGAATTGGGCAAGTCAGAAGCCTTAGAAGTATCAATCAAGGATGTTGTAGAAGAACTTCATGTAGTATAATTCAGCATTTATTGAGGATGGGAAATGTTAGTGACACTTGAACTAGATAACATCTGGAATATATTCAAATACCATCACCTATTCTTTAAATCAGACTTCAATTTATATTCCTGAATATCTATAATTTTACAATATTACAAATAATCCTCAGAATCATTGTACATTTTTATATCCCCCTTTATATAAGATAATGGATTTTTTTCTCTGCTTTATGACTTCTAAGCTTTTATTATAAACATTGTATATATTAAGTCCAAATAATAACTAAGCATTATTTTCTAAAATATGTTTGAAATTTTAAGATTTTATTATATTTACAGAAAAATAACTTAGTTACTAGTTTAAAGTTTACAACAAAGACTACAAGATTTACATGTGTTTCGGTGTTTAATTTTAGTTAATCTCTGTCACTAAACATGGATAAACATTTACTCTTTCCGGAGGCCCAGACACACATGACCCTCATTAATTGAAATATAACTCATACATCCCAAATGTTGGTGGTGTGAAAAAGAAAGTTCTGACACCTCTATTTGATCACGATAGATAATAGTGAGTGAGACATATTTTACTCCTATGTCGTATTTTGGGTTGATCTTTAAGAATAATACTGGCCCATAAGCTTCTATGTTTTCCTTCATTATACAAATTCAAAATCACTAGTATACTGTTCTCATGAACCAAGCTTGTCTCTATGCCCTGTCTGAATTGAAATAACTGGAATCATCTGTTATAGAAAAGTTCATTGAGCTGTACTGGGATTTTCCATGGTTTGGTTTCTGGAGGGGGTACATTTACTTAAAAGCTTATAGATTATCTTATAAAAAATAACATGTTTAATTTTTCTGCTATATATTTTTGAAATTTTTACTTTAAGGCCATCATTTCACTAACTTTTTCTAAAGGTATGTGCACAGAAACAAGAGAAGTATTAACTTACCACTATTTTATTAATAATGCAATCATTTTTTATTCTCATTTAAGATTCTGTACCATTATATACCCTAATATTTTTTGTTTGTGTTAGTACTAGTTTCCTATTTATTATAACCAGATAATTCTGGAAAACCCTACATTTTATCATAATATTTGCTTTTAAGTTTTATTCTAATTATCTTGTTGTTTAAATTTATTATTTTGTTTCATTACTCTGTATGGGTTAGAAATAATACACATTCTCAAATATTTCAATATTTATTGAACTGCAAAATATCCTAAAAGAAAAACTGTGTCTCTTTTATATTCTGGAATCTAAAGACTATCAATGATTTTTCATTATTGAATTTTCATATTGAGCAAAATTGCTCTGTGAACCCGTTTCTAATGTAGAATAAACTATGGCTTAATAGATAATATTGGTTACTATTGTGCTGTTATTTCATTTCCTGTGTCTGATTTTTATCCAATAATCCATTTTACTCATTTACCTCCTGTAGGCAGGTTTCATTTCTAAATTATATACATTTTTTTTTTTCTGGTGTTTGAGCAACAACAGTTTTCAGTTCTGCCATTAACTCTAAATTATTGTATTTAGTATTTTTAACAGAAAATAGTAATAAATGTAAGTATTTATAAAGTCATAGTACTAGAAATAATTTTGGTCTATATTTTATTAATCAGTGTTTTCCTATGATAAAACCTCTTTCTTTAGAATTATGCAACCTGGGTAACATTTTCTTAAGATGAAAGCTTAATATTGAATCTTTTAGGAGAACTATATTAATCCAACTCAAGTACTGTCCCTAAAAAATTTTATCTAAGAAGTATTAATGTAAATAATGTGGCTATCAAAAAGGCATTGGAATTATAAACCCCGTAGGATAAATTAAGCAAATAAAAATAAAGTCTATGTGTATAATATTTTCATAATAATATTTTCATAATTATAAGAAATTCAATATGGTTTTTAAAATTAATTATTAGCAGCTGGCACAGTGGCTCACCTGTGATCCCAGCACTCGGAAGGCCCAGGTGGGCGGATCACGAGGCCAGGAGGTCGAGACTATGCTGCAAACATGGTGAAACCCCATCTCTACTAAAAATACAAAAAAATTAGCTGGGCGCTTGTGGCGGGTGCCTGTAGTCCCGGGTGCCTGTAGTCCTGCTTCTTGGGATGCTGAGGCAGGAGAATGGCCTGAATCCCGGGAGGTGGAGCTTGCAGTGAGCCGAGATTGTGCCACTGCACTCCAGCCTGGGCGACAGAGCGAGACTCCGCCTCAAAAAAAAAAAAAAAAAAAAAAAAAAAAAAAAAAAAAAAAGAAAATATTTATTAGTTAAAATATTTTATAAATGATACAAACAGTAACCTAACACTTTAGATAAAACTTTTAGAAATTTAGGGCTAAATTCTTTTTCTCTCTAAGGAATTTATAAAAAGTATCCTATTTCAGATTGATACATATATTTTGCAGGACAAGATTATTTCAAACAATTATCTAATTTTTATATGAGAAACCAGGAAATACTGTGAACTTCAGCACTTTCATTCAACAACCCATGAATTGAAACTAGCTAATACAAGAAACAAAAGGTTTGCTGTGGTGGCTCACGCCTGTAATCCTAGCACTTTGGGAGACGGAGGCAGAGGAATCACAAGGTCAAGAGACCGAGACCATCCTGGCCAACATGGTGAAACCCTGTCTCTACTAAAAATATAAAAATTAACTGGGCGTGGTGGGGCATACCTGTAGTCCCAGCTACTCGAGAGGCTGAGACAAGAGAATTGCTTGACCCCGGGAGGCGGAGGTGGCAGTGAGCCAAGATGGCGCCACTGCACTCCAGCCTGGCGACAGAGTGAGACTCCGTCTCAAAAACAAACAAACAAAACATTGAATGTACTATTTAGAGTCCACAAAACCTAAGGAAGGTTATAGGAATAGGTTCTTGGTTTAGCTTCAGGAAGAGTTCACGACCTACGCTGGATGGATATCTCGCCTAACGACAAACCCCAAAGCAGCGTCTGCTGTGATCATGAAACCACTTCTACCACACATACCTGGAATTCAGCTTCCCCTGCAGCCACGTACATCAAAATCAGCCTCTTTGACTTAGTCTAATTTCTTGTTCTAGGTACTTATGTATTACAATCATATCTGAATACTTGACACACAACTTTGCTGAGAATAAAATTCATATGATACAATTCCCTTCAAAAATAGTTCAGGTTTGATCCATTTTGTGTTGACATAAAATATCACAAATATAAAAGTCAAAAGCCAGCATATTTTTCCCCTTTAAAGTAATATATTTTATGTTTAATTAGAAATATGTCTTCACACTGAAAGTTAGTAACAATCCTAGAATAAGAATCAGTGCCAATCTTTCTAATGTTCTGAGATATGATTATCAGATCTTATTCATACAAATATATCCATCACATCACATGTGTATTGTTTGAGATGAGAGCATTTAGAGTTTCCGTAAACAATTAGCAAATTGTTAAGATTACATTTTTATCAACTGTAATCACCATGCTGTACAAAGATCTCCAAGACTTATCGTCCTAACAGAACTTGTGTACATTTTGACCATCTTCCCATTTTACCTGCTCTCCCTCAGACCCAAGTACACTATTCTGCCCTCTGCTTACATGAGTTAGACTTTTATTAGATTCCACATATAAATAAGATTATGCCATATTTGTCTTTCTGTGCTCAGCTTATTTTACTTAGATAATGGCCCCCAGGTTCATCCATATTGTCACAAATTACAATATTTTTTTTCTTTTGCTAATGCTTAATAGTACTCCATTACGTAAATAAACCACATTTTCTTCATCCACTAACCTATTGGTGGACACATGGGTTGATTCCATATCTTGGCTATTGTGAATAATGCTGAAATGAACGTGGGAGTGCAGGTCTTCAGCATACTGATTTCATTACCTTAAGCTACTTACTATGCCCAGAAGTGAGATTCCCAAACATACAGAAATTTTACTTTTTATTTTTGAGAAAATTCTATTACTGTTTTCCATAATGGCTCTATTAATTTACCCTGTACCAACATTGTACAAAAGTTTCCTTTTCTTCACATTCTCATGAACACTTGTTTTCTTTTGTCTTTTTGATAAAAGCTATTCTTTTTTTTTTTTTTTTCTGTTGTTTATTTATCAAGAGGAACTACTTCTTAACCCACATATTCAAGTGTCATAGTTCAGGAGTCAGTGACAAACTTCTAGGTAATTCAACCTGAAGAAATTCTTTATATTCCAAGATTACTTTACACTCTGAAAGATACCAGCCTTCCTCATCTCCTCAAAATCTTTCATGGCATCATAGTTTCTGTAGAAATCTGCGTACGCCTTCTTTCTTTTATCAGCCACACCAAACTTATACAAAGGTGCAACTCCCAGGGATAGCACGAATGCTGCAACCATATGAAATCGCAGACGCCTGGCCAGAAGGCCACGCATCTGAGGTTTTGGCAAAACTTCGGGTGCCATGGTAGTTACTGTCCTTGATACGTATGCCAACCTCAACACCAACATCCTTCCCGACTTGTAAGGACGGAAAGGAAAAATGGATAAAAGCTATTCTAACAAATGTGAGATGACATCTCGCTGTGGTTTCAATTTGCATTTCCCTGATGATTAGTGATGTTGAGCATTTTTTCATATAACTATGGAACATTTGTATATATCCTTTGGAGAAGTGTCTATTCAGGTCTTTTGCCTATTTTCTAATTTTTTAAACTATTGAGTTTTTTATGTATTTTGAGTATCAGCTCCTTTTTTAAGAGGTAATACATATATTAATTAGTTTGATTTAATCATTTCATAATGTATACATATATCAAAACATCACATTGTATACCATAAATGTATGAAAGTTTTTGTCAACTAAATTAAAATTTACAAACAAATATTACTTAAAATGATTTAATGACTTCAAGCCACTAAAAAATTATATACCATACATCTAGTATCTCATTTCATGTACTGTCTTTTAAATACATTACTGTGAAATATATATGATGTTTATATAATTTATCTGGCATGATTTTAGATTTATTAATGTTTAATCTTAAGATCCTAAAAATCTTTAGAATATAAGTGTACATTTTTTACAGTATGCGTTATATGTACTTAAAATTACTACACAGTGGAAATCTATTAAAATTGCAGTAATTTTACATGAGAGAAAGAGGTGTGAAAAATAAAGATAGAATTTCTATTGAATAATATCCGTTCTTTCTGTTTGACAATATTTGTTCTTTTCTTGGACTTGGATGTATGTGATAAGTCATTGGGATCCTTATATTTCCTACCTGATGACATAAAGAAACTTGCCGTTTACTTTATCATTTTCTCTAACATCTCTAAAAGAAATTGATTGATTCCAGAAATTATACATAAAATAGTAGAGAAGCAGAAATGTTAATTTGACTATATATAATGCTTCTAAAAGAATATGCAATATTGCACACATATAACTAGGATTAAAACATTTATTTATATATAATGACCCAAATAAATATTAAACATTAAATTTTAAAAAATTATATTTATAAAAAATCAAAAGAAGCAACTTGTTTATTTACATGTAAAATGTGGCAATCTGTCACTAACTTTAGATGTACTGAAACAGAAGGTTGATTTTTCAAAATCTAAGTTTAAAGAGATTAAACAGGTGTGTATTTATTTGTCTAAGTGTTTCTTAGATTGAAAAAGATATAATCTTTCTCCATCAGATTAGAACCTTTGCTTCCTGATTCTCCTTCTGAAAGGTACAATTCTGTTACCACGAGACCATTTACTCACCATTGCAAGTGTTGCTCCTTATAGCAACACAGAAAACATTAGAAAAAACCAAAACTACAGGTTTGTCAACTACAAACACGTGTGTATAGTATGTGTAAATAAAACTAGACAATGAATTATACAAATGCTTGCAAAAGCAATACTTTTGAAATAACCAATATGCTGTTATTAAATGAAACTATATGGAGGAAATTGAAGAGAAAAATGTCATATTTTTATATAATTCCTTCTACACTATTTTTACTGTCTTATTACAACCACCATTTTGTTTCTACAAACATAGAAATATGAAAGTGGTGATATTGTTAATTTACGCATTTTTTCACTATTTCCCTAGCTATCTTAGAATACCATTGTTTGCACTGTTTTACATTTCAAGACATCTTGTAAAACATTACATAGAATAAAAACTGAAAACTCTGGGGTATTTTAATAATTCTTAACCATTAAATTTGCCTTCTCTCTATAGAGCTTTAATGGTAACGTCCCTTGATTTGCCTTCCCTTTCCTGGAATCCTGTAGTAAGCCATGAATTTTACTCTTTACAGAAAAGTTCCAGTTCAGAGCTCCACATAGGTAGGAAAAAACAAATGAAATAATCTTTAGAAACCTAATAATGGTTAAAAATATTATCTGAGAAGTCTCAAGTTTTTAAAAGGAATACGGAAATTCCTAGAAGCAGATAGAGACTCTAACTAGGAAAAATGTGATAATCTTAATTTGACATTTTCTTCAGCATTTAAATTGGTTTGTCTCATGGTACTCTCATTTTCAATTCCCATGTGTAATATTTTTCACAACAAAATTTATTAGCAACTTTTAATTTTATTCATGTTAAAAATTTAGATTATTATTATTTTTTTTAATTTTTAGAGGTAAAGTCTTGCTCTGTCACCCAGTCTGGGTGGAGTGCAGTGGTGACCATAGCTCACTGCAACCTCAAACTCTTGGGGCGAAGAAATCTTCTCACCTAAGCCTCCCAAACACCTGGGACTACAGGCATGTGCCACCAGGCTCAGCTAATTTTTTTTATTTTTTGTAGAGACAACGTCTTGCTGTGTTGCCCAGCTCGTCTTGAACTCTTAGCTTCAAATGATCCAACTGCCTTGACTTCCCAGAGTGTTGGGATTACAGGCATGAGTCACCATTCCCAGCCTCAGTAACTTTTAAATTAAGAATAATTTATATTATACAGTGAATTATGACATTATAAAAATGTATGTGCAACTTTACATCATTCTAGTTAGGCGAGTGGCTCATGACTGTAAACCCAGCACTTTGGGAAGCAGAGGTAGGAGGATCACTTGGGACCAGAAGAGCAACCCGAGTAACATAGCAAGATCTCATTTCTACAAAAAGATATATATATATATATATATATATATGTATTTCCCTAATATATATCTATGTATCTATATATATCCCTAATTTTAAGGTACCGAAGGTTAACAGCATGTTTTTAGATCTCAAATAGAATCAACAGCACTTTTTAATCATAATGTCGAGCAATTGTAGCAAGTTTTAGTTTTACCTGTGAAGAATCTATTTCAATTTCTTATCTTTTACATTAAACAATCATTCCTAAACCTTTAAAATTGTTATTTAGAAGCAAATATGGATGCCTTTTCTTCATTTTCACTGAGTCTACCGTTTGGTAAAATATAAAACATAAAAATTACTTAACAAATTATGCTTGAGAAATTTAAATGTTTATCATTACCCTTTTAATGTTTGAGCATAGATAAGTATGAAATAGTTGTATAATAAAAAAACTATAGAATATTACTACACATTAAAATCTTGTTAGCAACTTATTTTGTGAATTAACAAATTTTGAGAAAGTCCATGTATTTATTCAGCATTTTTGTTACCTGCGTTTTCTCTGGTTTAGATAAAACCATTGGAAAATTATTTAATCACCTAGCTCTTTATCTGAATTATCATATATTTATAAAAAAAAAGATTGGTATCTGGTTGAGCTAGTTTTTTCACCCATTTCTATGACAAACACGTTTGAAGCATTTGACAATTCACCTTTTTGCCGTGTTTTAACATTAATTTTCAAGATACATGTATAAAATAATGCGAGACTTTGATTGAAATTTGTGAATGAAAACAAATTCAGAATTACGTAAGGAGAGACTGTAATTAAAAGAAAGACTATTGCAATGGGGCAACACTGTGATCATAGAAATCTGTCTGAAATCAAGCAAAAAAGGTTTTTTTGTTTGTTTTTCTAACTAGGTTAAAGTAGAGGTAAGCAGAAATAAGCAGAATCTTTGTAAGGGAACCTGGACTTGCAAGAGGACATGCCTAGTGGAGTCTGACAGGAAGAGTCTTGCTTTTGATAAGATGCTTCCCAGCAGAAACTAAGGGTGGCATGGTATTCTGTCTTTGTTTAGGCTTAGAGGCAAGCAGAGGTCAACAGCCTGTAAGAGAAAAACCTGACTAGTTGGGTCAAAATAAAGCAGATGATAATAAGTGGCCACTTGTGAACATTTGGTTAAATTGCTTTGAATTTATAGATTAGTAGAGACAAATGTACGTACTTATGTCAAAGTCATTTTTAATTATAAATTTGAATATGTTCATATTGATTTATAGTTATTTAATACTTACTTTAAAATAAGTTTTATAGATTATGAACAGTTTTTGTTAGGTTTATTATAAAGAATCTGACATACGTGATAGGCAATATATAATGCAAATGCAGGAAATGCAAATAAAGTAATAAATTTCAATTAAATTTCAATTCAAAATAAAATTTATATTCCTAGATTTTTTAGTTATTCTTTAAAAAGTCAGTCAAGTATTTCTGCGCCTCTTCATTGTATTGATAACTAAAATGTATCCAAAGTTTATAAACCTCAAGACTATGCTCAGTAGATAATACTCCTTTTGAATCACTGCCCAGAAAAAGATGTAGGATATCACCAGAATCTCAGAAACATACCTCTTGTTCTTTACATATCATTAATTTTTTTTTTCAGAAAAATTACTACTTAATTCTATCTGACACTCTAACTCAGCATTTCTCAACCATTTTTAAAATCATTCTCTTCACAGGTACCTTTCTAGACATTGTATTTGTTAATTTTGTCTCTTCCTGAAACTCTGTATCTGTTTTGTATTATAGATATATCTATATTTAATAAATAAAGAAGAGTTTCCTTTTTACCCCTTATGAGAACGATTTTTGTCTCCCTGTGGGAGATGTCACTATCTTTAATATTATTGTTGAGAACAAGAATCATCTTGTATTTGCATCTGTTAAGTGTATTTTGTGGAGACAATGGAGGCATGCTATATATTTAGGTTTACCTGGGTTCAACTGTTTGTAAATAAAATCATACCAGATTTTCTCTTCCTTTTAGTTCCTTTCACTGAACATATTTAGTGTCAGGTTGTTTCAACATCCAAAATCCTTGGGATGCTAATTTTGCTATTTTCCCCCTGCTGGTTCTCAAGCAGTGGTATTTTTCCAAAGTAGTAATAATGGTCAACTCTTGGCCACAAAATTTTTCTCCTGAATTTTTTTCCTGAAGTTTTATAATTTTACATATATGGTCATATCTATGAACAATTTTCACTTAATTTTGTTAAGGTTATAACTTTTAGTCAAAGACTATTATTTAAATTTACAAATTTAATTACTCAATGCCAATTTGGAAACGCTTTTCTTTGTTGAAGGGTTTGTACTTTTTTCAAAGAGCAATTGACTACATTTCTGTGG